TGTAAACATCGCCACTGGGGAGACAAAGGCGGTCGGGCGTGGTGCTGGCCACTCACCCTCTCGTGTACCCTTCTGGCCTTCGCTAACAGCACTTGCCCCTACAGTCTAAGGCTATATGGGGGGTCTTTGTCTTTGTTCAGTGTCGTTCCTTCACAGTTCGGTAAGAGTCAAACTAAAATATGTTTTATTTCACTAGATAAGGCCCACTGAGCTATATAGATATCTTTCAGAAGCGACATGGCCACAAATGATATCCCAACAAAGTGGCTTATCATGTGGAGATTTAAAGCAGCCAAATACGTACTCTAAACGTGTTTTTTTCTAAACAACTCTGCGAACCAGTTACGTTACAAAGCAGATATTTATTTTACTGATCAATTTAAAGAACACGAACCACTGCGGTTGCCAACACTGGTTACGAAACCCATTTTGCAAAGTGGCAAAGGAATGAGCATTAACCACAAACGGCTCAAACGTTTTCGTTGCTGATGTGTCGTGACCGAAGGCTCTTTCACGCCGGGTTGAAAGCACCGACTTTTCCAAACTGAGAATATGTCAGTGTCCTGAGACGTGTGTCATTTAGGTAAACTTTTGTCGACTCAGATCAGAAGACTCGTGACGTTTGCCCATCGCAGCCACACACCTTATAAGTAGGCGAGGAGTATTATTGGCAAATACTTCCCGGTGGTTGATGGTTCGATTCTGGATAGAATCGGCCCGCCACTTGGCCATGGATAAGAGGAGTTGAAGACTGACAGAGATTACGTATTGGCATTCGAAATGTATCGCTACAGGAGGATACTACTGCGTCTGAGCTGGACACGAAGAGTGACCAATGTAGACGTAAGAAAAAGGTTGCCCATAGAAGAAGACAACCTGATGATGCAGGCAGCGATGAGAAATAAACTGGCACGAGATGTCGGATGGACAACAGGAACATTTAAAGTGTCTTGTTTGTTTGGAAAAATGAAAGGAACCGGAAAGAGAGGAAGACCTCACAGAGCAGGGCTTGACGACAGAAGAGATTGGTGCCAGAAAGGTGTTGCACTGCTTGAGCATATTGGCACAAGACGGAGAGGAAGGTGGAGACAAATGACGAAATGTGCAGTGGACACCTACGGGGCTATCTGCCCATGGACCGTGATGACGATGATGATGAAGAGGAGTTCGACTGAACCTCTAGCCTGCTGTCTCACCGTTGAGCCCACTGTTCTTGGCACTGCTGTGTCTTTAAAAGCTCTGCCATCGGCAACATCATCAACAACGTGCATGTCACCGTGTTTAGAAGGAAAGAAAAAAAACATGAACTCGACCGTAGCACGATGGAGTTTTGTCCCAAAACGTTGCGGGTGTCTCGGAGCCGTATCTCAACCCGCTGGGGGTGTCTGGGGTACGCGTGGCACACCGCCACGGGTCGCCATGCCCCCGGAGCTCGGCCACCTTCACAAAGTCTCTCCCCTCCCACCGAACACTCAACGATCCTGCCAGCGCGGTTTTCATCTGGGATTTGTTCGTGCAAATGCACACAGTTCTCATTCATGTGCGGAAAACTGAAAAACAAAAACCAGCCACAACATTTTCTCATCGGCTGATTAATACTGAGCGAGATAATAAATGCGTATTTGTTCGGAATTTGAAATCCACTTTGCTCTCGCCGGTAACATTGTCAGTTTAATATTAATGTAAATGTAATTCCACTTCACCAGACAACGATGGCATTTAGGCAACATTATGCATAACAGCCGCCAGTGATTGTCACGAACGTTCGTGTCTGGTTTGTTCATTCAAGTACACCACTTGCCCAAGGCTACAAGCGCACGCTAGCAGATGCGTTAAACCCCCCCCCCCCCGTCCATGTTTTGGTATTTCCCAATTATACAAAGCCCTATGCACCTCAACTGATGCAAGGCGCACTGAATTTAAACTGGGATTTTCCATCAGGACACGAGCATGAAACGACAGTAATCTCTTTACTGTGAACCGATGGCTTGTGGCATGCGTTCATGAATGTGTGCTTGCTTACGCCGTGATTTGTGCGAACTGATTTAATGATTCATCCTTGCCAGAGAGCTCTTAGGAAAGCAACACGAGCAGAAGTGATCACTTTACTATATCAGCCTATATCCCATCTCTAATATTGGATACGTCTTTGGTTATCTACCGCTTCGGGAAATGGTCATGGGGAATCCATACTTTGACTAGTTACACACATAAATAACATTGCAGATTGCACGAGTATAAACAACATATATCTTTCAACATGAATACTAATACAATTCCAAAAGCGTAATTTCCGTCGTCTCTAAAGTGCATGCAAGGGATAGTATGAAAGAAATAAATAGCCAGTATTATATATGTATGTTGAACTTCTTTCGCACCGTACGCAACCAACCGTCCTAATATGTGGTGCAGGGGAAGGATAACACACTAAACACAAAAAGCAATTATAAAAAAAAACGTGTTTTCAATCCGGATTTGAAAGTGCACAGCTCCAATGGCTTCCTAATAAATGTTACACACTTTGTACGCGGGATATGGATTTCTCTATTATTAACTTGAACTACACGAAAGGTCAAGGTCACGCTGCCTTGGCTTTGTTCACTTACGAGAGAAACCACCTGAAGTAACACGATTGTGCTTCTGAACGCTGCTGTCTCGCCCGCAAGCAAAGAGCCTTTGCCTCAACATATGATCAGTCACATTACAGGGAATGTCCTTGAATATATCGTAATGTGTTCATCTCATACATGACAAACTCTCAGGTCAGATGAAGGGTCAAACCTCTCTTGGAAGCCTAAAAAGGGCAGCGTATTGTGAGTGTGCATGTCAGTGTGAAAGCATCACATGCACCGTTAAAATTCATTGATCAAAATCATCGCTACATTTGGTGCGTCCACTATTCTGGAAGCACGGGGAAATCACAGAGACACCACATCTGTATTCTAAAACCACGGATTAAAATAAATATATACTCAGCGGTGTACATGAGATAGAATATTCCAGGACATACATGTCATAAAACAAAATAGACTTCCTCTATTAAAAAAAAACCAATAAGGCATTTGATTCTGGGCTATTGGGCTGTTATTAAATCCACATGTATAGCTTCTCTTAGTACGTGACCATACTTCACCACAATGGTCAGCACGGGCTGTTGATGTCCAGCAGCAAGATCTTGGAGCGTGGTACAGTACAACGTGGGATTTTGTTGCACTGCCCCTCTGCTGTCAACATCGTTTCACATGAGCCTACGATGCCTCTTTTATGCATGGCGATGGTCGCTTGTCCAAGCGTTATCCAGGCGTAAACATGCTTAGCTTCCAATATCTGATGAGATTGGGTACATTCCAGGTGATTTGGTTATATGCATTGTAGGTGACTCAAGTAAAACATTATATAAGGTTTGCATGCACAGACACGGGTTCTGAGTGTCCTGGCTTGTAAATAGACAACATTCGTCATGGTGCTAAGAGAAACATTCAAGAAGCGCTGCAAGAAGCTAAAAAAAAGTTGTCAGACAAAACAAACCAGTTATGCAACGATAGAGTCTGCAGATGCAAAAAACAACAATCCCAATATTTTCTGTTCAGTACAACTGTGAAAAGCTCGCACGACGATGCAACATTTGCACCCTTGATTACTTGAAAAGGAACTCGTTTGGTTAAAATTTGCAGCCAAAAAGTTTTTGTGTGGAAATAAGTGGGGAGGAGGGGAGGAGGGGAAGGGGGTGCCCGTAGACTGCCCCCACACCTTACCCCACCATCCACGACCTGCCGATCAACTGACTGTGGTTGTATCCATTTAAACCAGCGGTCGGGAACCTATGGCTCGCGAGCCATATATGGCTCTTCCAGTGACTGCATATGGCTCCCAGCCAATTTTGAGTTGAAAAAAGAATAAAAAAATAAAAAATAAAAAATCAGTTTGGAACTGATTTTAAAATACTTGTGATATTGCTTAATAATACTGTGTCATTTTTAAGTAAACAGAAATTAGTTTTGAAGATAAATTTCACGGGTCACGCCTGCATGAAGCTCAACCTCACCACGTACGAACCAGACAACAAGGCCATCAGCAAAACCATGCAGCACCAGAAGTCGCATTAAAAGTAAGACATATTTAATTTATTATACGTTCAAAATACTACATGGCTCTCAATGAAATATATTTAAAAATATTTGGCTTTTATGGCTCTCCCAGTCAAAAAGGTTCCCGACCCCTGATTTAAACCAATGGGTGAACACATTGTAAATGTTGTGGATTTACTCTCCAACACACCGGTCAGTGCCGGATTATCCTAGTCGCAAAAGTAGCTACATACAGTAATGCTACGGGCGCCGCACTTTCAAGGGCCCCGCGATAAATGCTTTCAAGCTATCAATTCCGTTTCAGTGATTCTGCACTTGCTCTATTACTATAGTACCATACTGCCTTCAACTTTCATGAACGACTGGGTGTTTAAGGTTAGCGATTTGTTATATTATCTGGCTGTGTAGCAAATGAAAACATGCAATTACTTTACTATGCAAGTTAAAAATTTGTGTTTCTAAAATTTACGTTTTTTTTTTTATTCAGGGCCCCTTTATAACATATTCTACAGGCCACGCACTAGCTTAATCTGGCATTGACACCGGTGCGCTGAAGTAGAAACTAATTGGCGCGTCGTTTACGTGACAAACCATACCGGCTGTGTCGGGTGGTGGAGGGTTACGACACATTTATGCTTACGCGATCTAACCCAAAAAACATTTATTATAATAAAGCGTTTTTGGTTATGTCGATTATTATTATTAATCGTTAACAATTACTAATTGTTTCAACTGCCACAACGGGAGATCAAACCGGCAATCATCTGTATTTATCAAGTGCAGCGTGCTAACCATTCCCATTTCTGTGTGAACGCACCCACCAATTGTTAATTGGTCAGTGCCGGCAGAGTGTACGATCGCCTTTGCCCTCGGAAACAGTGTCGTCAGACACCACGTGAAGGATGGCATGCGTCAACCATGCCGTGTCCGCCATTCTGTAACAGTGAGTCACGGTGCATGACAATTAACCCTTTCTGAGGTGTTCGTGTGCATTGTGAGTTGATCGACGGAGATCCTGTACACATGGGCAGATGTACAGGGTGGTCCAGGTAGTTAGTGACACCCCCCCCCCCCCACACACACAATTTAAGTTTATAAAACGTCATATTTTTTAAGTATGATTATTTTTCTTCTACAAAGCATACCATCCCACGAGGCAGTCTGCAAAGGAACTGGTTTCATAGTGACTTCTAATTTAAATATAGCAAACAATGAAATGGTTCACTCGGGTTGTACGACTTCGCTCGGGCACCTTGAGCGAGACCGAATGGAATTCTAAAAGCACGCCAGGGTGAAGTGGGGGAAATCGGCGAAACATTTAATTACTTGAAATATCCCCACTGCGCCACCTTCATGGTAAGAAAAAAATACATATTAACCGCCTTAGATTTGCTCACGATGGTCTTCATCATCATTTGCTTATGCGTGTCCCATCACGCCCAGTGCGGTCATAAGCTGCCGACCTTCTTGCTGTCGCTCCTCCACCCTGCGCACAGTTTCGCTTTCGCTCGCCGCTTGCTCCCCCCCGCCCTTCCACTGCAACAAACTCCTCTCTTCTTGGTTCTTTCGGTAAAGTCACGTAGATGCTGTCTTCCCGACAGACCTGTTCTTCACCTGAGGACGGCTGCTTGCGTTGTGGCCGAAACGTCGTGAGAATTATTTTATTGTGTTTTATTTTTATTATTTTATTATTTCCCTTCTACGTGACTTTACCGAAAGAACCAAGAAGATGAATCCCTGCAGTCACGAAAGCTTTAAATCGAAATTTAAACTCCCTCTACACATGCGACTCTACCCATCGCTTTACTCTTTTCGCACTGCCCTCGGGTCCTACCTGACTGCTCCTGCCTTCTCCCTTCCGTGACCTCTACGAGCACCAACTAAGGGGCTGTCCATAAATGACGTCACGCACCTGGGGGGGGGGGGGGGGCAGACATTTGTGACTATGTGTGACGAGGGGGGGGGGGGTTTGAGAAATGTGACGTCACATCAAAATGCGCAACTTTAAATAAATATAGACAACACGTTCTACTTAATTAAATATACTTTTTAAAACATGTTTTCTCCTACAACATCAGAGTGCAGCGCCACATTAAATACGCACTACAATGACAATAGTTTAAAGTGATTTGAAGCATGTTTTATTTTGTTTGGGTGGGGGGGGGCAGAGCTTTGTGACGTCATATTTGAGGGGGGGTGCTGACTTTTTGTGACGCCGTGTGACGAGGGGGGGGGGTAAAAAAATCGTCCAAAATCGCGTGACGTAATTTATGGACGGCCCCTAACTCCCCCCTTCCCAGCCACAGCCTTCCACCTCGCTCGCTCCATCCTACTCACTGCCCCATCACCACCCCTTATTTTTTGATATTTTGTACCGTAGTCGGTAAGCATTGTCAAGCGCCTTGGTGAACGGCGCTTTATAAATCCTAAGTAGAATAAAATAGAACATTATTGAAAAAAAAACAATAACGAAAACTGCAAATCAAGGCTCATGATACATATTAAAGTAGTGTGCAAGACGTTTGCTGACCAATTGGAGATATCTGTTGGAGGGACAAAACTAGAAGACACGCTAGATTATTGTATGATAATTGTTTTTTTACCCTTCTATCTGGCAACAAAACTGACACCTTTTAACAAGGAGTCATGTTTGCATAGACCACAATACCTGCAGTTATAATGCAAACAACAAAACATAACTCTGATAATGTGCACTGTCCTTGAAGTTGATTGGTCCACACCCGAGACAGCTTTCCTTAGAGCCTAGTCTCACATGGGTTGGACCAGATGATGCCAAAAGGCATTATGACTGCAGGTATTGTGTTCTATGCAAACATGACTCCTTGTAAAAAGGTGTCAGTTTTGTTGCCAGATAGAAGGGTAAAAAAACAATTATCATATTTTTACTGGCAAATGAGGTTCCAATGGAGATTATTGTATGTTTACTGACAGCAGTTATTGAAGGCAAACCAGAATCAAATTCATGAAATAAAGAGACCCGAAACAAGAAGAATTCTCCACAATTTTGGCTGCAGCCTGATGATGCTTGTTATAATGTCTGGCGAGTCGTCGCACTCGAATTGTAAATGCTGTGAAGTTCACTCTCCGACACACCGGTGTGCTGTGCTAGTAACGAATTGCCACGTTTTGTTTACGTGACCAAGCTTGTGAATTGGCTGTGTCAGGTGTTGTGACGGGTTTCACGACACATATTTCCGTGTTCTCACCCAACCTACTGGGTGTTAAGCTGGGTGAGAGGAGGTTGGAGTGCTTGGGTTAGACGCAAGCCTGGGGGGGGGGAAGATCTGCAACTCCTAAGGACGTTTCTCAATTTTTCATATCAGACCCATCAGCAATAAATCCATTCCATCGACCTTCCAAACAAGGGCTAAAGATAACCTTGCGTGTGGCCGGTGTGTCGAGAGAAGCCAAAAAACATGATCAGCATCTGTTCAACTACAGGCATTCTCTTCAGCCTTTACTTTTGTCATGTCACAAACAGGTTCCTTCTGTCCTGGAGGTGTTTTGGCTGTGGTTCCCCTGTGCAAAGAACACGCTTCGGTAGCAACACATTATTCGCTGACGATCCACTTTTGGCACTGGAGCACACACACAAACACATTCCTGCGGAGGGAGCTGGTAGGAGGGTCAACGGCGGCGTGGTGTATTCCGCAAATATGCCCGACTGTGAGGGCGGGCACAAGCCGGCGTGAGTAGGTTAAACGTTGAGTTTTATAAGGGCACCCCGGGGTGACCAGCCAGCCCCACCCAGCCCCTCCCCACCCTCCCCACCCAGCCCCTCCCCACCCTCCCCACCCAGCACCTCCCCACCCTCCCCTCCCCACCCAACCCCACCCTCCCCTCCTCACCCAGCCCCTCCCCACCCAGCCCCTCCGTGCACGACGGACGGACACAATAATCCCCTGTGGGCTGGTGTAACCAGGAGGTTCCAGTAATAACAAACGCCTGAACACATTTGTCAACAACAATCCCACAAAAGGAAAAGTATCAAATTGGCGACGTTTTGGGCAATGGCCCTTTTTATTTGCTATGAAGAATTGACCATGTGCTATGAAGGAGGGATTTTGCCTTAAATGTCATCGATTACGTACCTTTTTTTCAAGGCAGTGTTGCTAACACAATGCGTTGTGATCCAGTAATGGTTTTCATATTTACGAGCACACACATTTTGGTGATGTAAAGCAGCAGTGGCTTGATTACTTATAAAAAAAAACACACGACTCTTACGATCATTGCCATCAAACACAATTTACACAACCGTTAGTATACGCAGTGAAGAAGATGTAGCTTTTGAGAAAATAATCAGATTGCATTACAACTCATTAAGTTAACAGCATTAATCTGTACCTTGGGATAATATACATAAATGATAAAGTTAACCAGAAAGCCCTCCTAGTTTCACAATGGCCAAGTCTTACATGAAACTGAATTTAAAGCACTGGGCTATATTTAGTGGAATGGCCACAACTTGAATACTCAATAAACCAATTTGAGGACGAGGCTTAAAATGTACCATACATTCCTAAGCAGAACAAATTCATACACCGCAAAGATTCTGCGGCGGTATTGGGATGGAATAGTAAGCATGGATGTCACTTTTTTCCGTGAATTAATAATTCATTTAAATGTGTCTGAGCTCATTAGTACTGTGCACATTCATATTTAAAGCACACCATGCCTGGTGCACAGACTTTATACACCATCGGGGCTTGACGCCGGCTCATTCATTAGCATATGTGAATGGTTGTCGTGATGGATTGCAGAGGAATATGAAAGATTCATGGCAGAGACTGCTGTCAAACAGGGCGATGAATTAGGCGCAAGCAGACGTTACTCGTTGTAACCATTCAGGGAAGGTGACGGCGGGAATCGGGACTGGTTTATAGAGGGACCTCTGTGGTCACATTAGTCAGCAAAGTAGAAGATAAATAAAATAAACTGAGCAAGACGTGTCTTTCTCTCCGCACATACACAATGGACAGGCATTGAGTACTGGGAAAGTCGTATGCTTACTCCGGAATGCATTTGAGAAACATTCATTAAGAATGCTTACAGAAAAGTTTTGAGTTTGTTGTTGATGATTATGACTATGACGATAATGACCTGCAACTTACATTCCAGCACATTCAGCGCAAATGCAGCATAACTCAAGACAAAAGCCAACACCAATGACTCACTACCATTACAGTGTGTAACGAAATTTTTTTTTTCCTGTGTAAGTGTTATTTCCTAATTGGGTATGCCTCAAAAGTACAGAAAATGGCTATTATTTCCCACAAACTTTACTTTTGTGACCAGGACAGTGATATTTTAAATGTGCCTATTTTCAATGAGAAAACGTGTGCATTTGTGCCATTCCTTCACGTAAAGTCCTGGTCACAAAAGCAAAGATCGTGGGGAATAATAGCCATTTTCTATACTTCTGTAGTGAGTTCAACTGAGTCGCAGACGCACTTCTTGGAGGCAACACATTTAATATACCAACACACGCGGTTAACAAGATAACAACCTACGGTGGTGGACCACCAGGCTAATTACTCTGTAACTAGCTACAACGGACCGGACCACAGCATGGACCCAGGTCAACGTGTTGGTGACTCTTCAGGAAGTAGAACGTAGACTTCTTCAGGATGACAACAGCAACGCCGAACCCCGGTCCCTCTTTGGACCCGGCTTATATCCGCTCTGGCCGTGGCTGGCTCCGCCCTTGGCCACGACCACCTTCCAGAATCCTCTAGCAGGATCTCGCCCTGACACGTGACCACCCCTAGTCCCCCACTTGCGGCCCCTGTGTAGACTTTACCAGTCACGTGTCCTCCTAGGTCAACCAGAGTGCCACGGCCTATAGTAACCCCATTCCGTGGCCGGCACCCTCACACCCCATCCTGTAGGGGTCGGCACTGCACGCCGAGCGTGGTGCCA